CGGCGACGGGGACAGAAACTTGTATTCGCAACGGACAGGTAAGTGGGGTGTAATTGTACCCCAACATTTGTGGGGTTAATACTGGTAGGGCAAAAAAAATGATACGTATAAAGGTGAAATTTAAAGACCTTCAAGTACTAATTTAGTTGGTACAAATAAAAATATTTTTGATTGAAATAGAGAAACACTGGTCGTAACGCGACATTTTTATATGAGCTAAATATATACGCACAGCTTAAAAAAAACGCCATCGGTAGCAGCGCGCCCATAGCGGTCAGAAATGCAAGCGGCTCTCGCCGGAGCCGCTCTCCCTAACTATATTTTTTAACCCTAAAAACACAATTTTTTAGGGTTAAAAAATATAGTTTTGACAAGTATAACTTGTGCATTTTTTAAAACTACCCTCATAACGTAACATTATTTTCGCCATACACTATTTTATGATTTAAAGTGTACTGTGACCTGATCTGGTTTTTGTTTATCCGATTTTGACAATGATTGTAACAATTATATAGGTGTATGTCATTCAATCGACATTTTGAGATGAGAGATTGATGCGATACGACCCTAGTGTATTGATTGATTGTATAGTAACAAACAAAGATATTGAGATAATGTAAATATATCATCATCATCAACAGCCCTTTACAGTCCACTGCTGGACTATGAGCCTCCTCCACTATAGTGGAGGGTTTTGCCATAATCTCCACGCTTGGCAGGCGGGTTGGAGATCGCAGTTTAAAAGATTGATGTTTTTCAGAGAGCGCTGCTGCCCATTCTCTGTTTGATGTGTAGTCCCTAAGTCGCCTCTTACGACACCCGCGGGAAGAGTAGGGGTTAGTGACAAATGTATTCTACTCTGCCGTCACCACACGGCTCAGGTAAATATATCGGTAAATATATGGACTTATAATTATTTTTATTATTTGTGATAGCATTCACTGCTCCTGCATTCATTATAATTGTAAGTTGTCATTTTGAGAAGTTATCATTTCGAGAAGTTGGCATTTCGAGAAGTTGTCATTTTGAGAAGTTGGCATTTCGCGAAGTTGGCATTTCGAGAAGTTGGCATTCTGCGAAGTTGTCATTTTGCGAGCGGTTGGCATTTTGAGAAGTTGGCATTCTGAGCATAAACGCTTTAAAGTGCGGATGATTTTTTTTTATCGTCTACCCCATCGTTGGATAGGTATTTTAAAATGGCTTAGTAGTTTCTAAGACCATTTTTCCATTTAGGTGTCTGTTTGCAAATTATTGAAGTTTAAAGTGTCAATTTTTGTTTTTCCCCTCTAAAAACTAAACTGTTGGCTTAAAAACAGTATCAAGAGCAATCGTTGGGCGGGACTGCCCTGCGTGGCGGTCTCGCTTGACATACAATCAGCGTTTAACCGGGCATGGTGGCCTGCAATCCTCGACCGCCTGAGGGCTATTGGCGGCCCGGCTAACATCTTCCGGCTAGTCAATAGCTACCTCAAAGACCCCACCGTCACTCTAAATTACGCCGGGCCCAGGCCTCGACGGGGATGCAGAGGAGGTGTGTCCAGGGATCAGCCTGCGGCCCAGCGCTGTGGAACCTGATCCTGGACGACCTCCTAGGCATCTCCCTGCCCCCCGGCTGCCACATCCAGGCATACGCAGACGACGTCCTGCTGATCGCAGCAGCGGACGACGCCACCGCTCTATCACACGGCACCACCAACGCCCTGGACAGGATTGCCGCGTGGGGCCACCGGCTCAAGTTGGTCTTCGGACCCCAGAAGACGCAAGCCCTGGCCTTCTCGCCTCGGGCGGCACGCGCCCGCATCGCCATGGCCGGTCACCCAATCCCGTTTTCCCCCAGCTTCCGGCTGCTGGGGGTCATTATCGACAAGTCCCTTTCGTTCGGCCCGCACGTCCGCCACGCCGTCCAGATCGCCCATCGGCTCTATAACAGGCTCGCCCTAATCGCAAGGCCGACCTGGGGCATCCACCCCGGCACCGTGGACGCTATATATAAATATGTCATCGTCCCCATAGTCACCTACGGTGCTGGGATATGGGGGGACGCGGCGCGGCGGAAGTCGCACGCAGGAACGCTGCTGTCCTTACAGAAAGGGTTCGCCATCAAAGCAATCCGGGGATACCGTACGGTGTCAACCAACGCCGCTACAGCGTTGGCTTATTTCACGCCATTAGACCTGGAGATGCTGCGCGTTGCCGAAGTGGATAGGACGAGGCTTCGGCGCGTGTCAGCCCTCCTACCCGACGATATCACCTTGGAAGCGCCGGTCCCCGTTGCGGAGCTCCTCCACCCGGCTCGGCGCATCTCCCCCGAGTACGACACGGCTCTCTCTCCGGAAGACGTCAATCGGGCGTGCCGGGAGAGCACCGTGCAGATATATACTGACGGTAGCAAGCAGGAGGACGGCTCGGTGGGCGCCGCGGTGGTGTGCGTCGACATCGACGCGCGCCCCTCAGTCACCGTCCGCAAGTACAAACTGCACCATGTCTGCACGGTGTTCCAGGCCGAAGCATTCGCCATCTTGCAGGCCTGCCGGCTTGCGGCTGAGCGCGGGTACAGCGATGCACTCGTGTGCTCGGACTCCTCATCAGCATTGTCGGCTCTCGCGCAGCGCAGCTCAGTCGCGCCCCTTACCGTGGAGACACACAAAGTCATCGAATCGCACCAGGCCACGGGAACCATTCGATTCTGCTGGGTGAAGGGCCACGCGGGCATCCCGGGGAACGAGCGCGCCGACATAGAGGCTGGGGAGGCGGCGGCTCTGAGAAGGGCCCCCGACTACTTCTGTTTCTCTATGTCATACGTCAAGCGCGCCCTCCGTGCTCGCGCGTTTGAAGACTGGCAGACAAGGTACTCCGAGGTGCCGCAGGGCAGTCACACCAGGACCCTCTTCCCAGACCTCCAAATCATCTCCCAGTTCCGAATCCACACTTCCCCATCCTTCCATTTGACCCAATTCCTCACGGGCCATGGTGCCAACCTCTCCTACCTCCACCGATTCCACATATCCCCCACCGACGCCTGTCCTTGCGACGGCACCACCTCCCAGGACCCCCTCCACCTCCTTATCAATTGCCCCCGGTTTGCTGCCAGGCGGCACAAAGTACGTAGCGCGGTGCAATTTTAAGTCTGTGGACCCCTGTGACTTCGCTGCCATCGCCAACAGTGGGGGGCTCGCTCGTTCCCTGGTTGAACTGGTGGAGTACATTTATGAGCGTTTAGGGGAGTTCAACAGGTCCTCCCCAGTATAAACAGCTGCTCGCAATCCACCAACTCCGACGCTCGACAGGAGCGGTCGGGTGTATAATGATGATGAGCTAGTTAAGTTAGTATAAGAATTTGTTTTATACAGGGTGGAAACGATAAGTGATCTCACTCTATTATTTCTAAATCATACAAGATATCCTGAAAGTGATTTACGAGCTCTTTCAAACGGCACCAATAACAGGTTACAGAATAAACTGGATCTATCCGAAAATTCAATGTTTCCGGCTTCCATACTAAATGTATGCCAACCACACAATATTAAGTGTAATTGATCAAATTACTTGCTCCATTATATAAAATACCATGTCGCAAAACGATAACCAGCATCATTGATGGAAAATACGAAGAAAAAAAGCTATTATAATCAAAGAGTTACAATCAGTTACCAATATATGTTTAACGATTGACGAATGGAAGGATTTACAAATGAAGAGCTATCTGGGAGTGACTATTCATTTTATCAAAAATTTTAAGATTGTTTCTTTCAATATAGCTTGTGAGCCGCTTTCGGAGAGTCATACCGCCGAATATTTATCAACCACCATTAAAAATATTTGTTGAACATTGGGAAATTCCTGATGAAAAAATAGTGGCCGTAGTAAAAGCCATTGATATAGCATTTGGAAGAGCAAAGCATATTCGTTGCATAGCCCACACATTAAACCTTATGTTTTGCAAAGTTCAGTCATGGTGAATGAAATAAAAATATTCATTGATAAAGTTCGCAGAATTATACAATGGTTCCATCAGAGCGGAGTTGCTGCAGCAGACCAATTGAGAAATTCTCAAAAGGCTGAAAATGTACCAGAAGGAAAAATTTAACACCTGGTAGGAGATGTTTCAACGCGGTGGAATTCACAATTGCATATGCTTGAAAGGTTTATAGCTATGAGTGGGACGGTAGGCGGCATTTTGTTGAATTACCCTAATGCTCCTCCTATGATTCAAGCTAGTGAAATTGCTGTACTGAAAGAGGTCGTAAAAATTCTCAAACCGTTTGAAAAAGTAAGCGAGGAGATGTGCTCTGAAAAATATGTTAGCGCAAGTAAAGATATTCCCATTATAATTATGCTTGAAACAGTTTTTGGAAAAAACAGATTCATCGCATGATTTGGCCATTCAATTAAAAAAATCAATAATAAATAAATTTAAGAAAAGATTTGAGCACATACAAAAAAAAACATTTATTTAATACTGCAACATTTTTAGATCCTCGTTTTAAAAAATTACACCTTGACAGTGTTGCCAACTTAGTGGATTTTCCACTAAATCTGGTGGTTTTGACTTACCTACTAGCGGACAAATATGGGTTTTAGTGGCTAGTGGATTTATCTAGTGGAATTTAAGAATTAAGGCTTTTTTTTCTTAAACATTGGAACAACGATTATACGGTCCACTCGTATCGTTTTTGGAGTTTAATTTCATCGTGCAGGCAACACTGTTCGAGCTAGCGAGTAAAGAGACCTAAGAAAAATGACAATAAATTATTATCGGGGATTCCCTGAGTTCCCTTTCCTAAAGTCGCAATTTTCGTTCGCGCTCATTGTGTTGGTGGTTTTGACGGTTTTGTTTCATGTTTCGTCATTGATAACTATGCCAAAACCACAGTATACGCAAAAGTTTCGGGATTCTTGGCTTCAGGATCCACATTTAAAAGATTGGTTTCAAGTAATTGAAAGTAGGTACTGCTGATCAAGTACCAAAATGCAAGTTTTGTGGAACGATTTTACGGAATCACTATGGAGATTTAAAAACGCATGGGATGTCAAAGAAGCATCAACAAAATACAAAGGTAACCGGATGTTTGATAATTGCTTCGCTTGGTAGTCACGGAAATATTTTTATTTTAATTAACTGCCCCAGAAGGATAGGTATTTTTGAGCATATAGTGTGTCATGATTTAGCACGCTCTGTAACATAAACTATAGAGGAGGTTTTGTATATTTTCATTCGTATTTTTACAGGTTATCGTTACGCAACCTAAGCTACCGTTCAAACCAGAGCCTGTAGGAAAAAAGAAAAAGGAAGAAGCCAGACTCGCATTATTCACAGCAATGCATACCAGCATCCGTGTAGTTGACCACTTGGGTGAGGTAATTAATCACAGTCATGAAAAAGATATTGATAGAGTGCAACTACACCGAACCAAGTGCACTTCTGTTATTAAAAATGTATTGGCGTTGCATTTTACCCAAATTCTAAAAGAAGATATTAAAGATCAACCCTACAGTATATTGGTCGATGAATCTACAGATATTGCAATACAGAAATACCTTGGTGTCATTATAATTTATTATAGTTTTAGATACCAAAAAATAGTATCTACTTATTTAGACCTTGCTGAACTGACTGAGTGCAATGCTGAAGGTATTATCTCTGCTATCAAAAAGACACTAAAACGATGCTTATGTCACTCTTTGCAACTGGCTGTTTCAGCTGCTGCCAAGCAATTTTTACCAAGGAATTTGGAGTTTTTGATTAGAGAGACGTATGACTGGTTTGCTCGTTCATCTTCCAGACAAACTGCCTATAAAGAGTTGTATAAAACCATCAATGAAGGACAAAAACCGCATAAAATTGTTCAAGCGTGCCAAACAAGATGGCTGTCAATAGAGTCTGCTGTGTCGAGAATATACACGCAATGGCTAGAGTTGAAAACTCATTTTTCTATAGCTAAGTTGCATGAAAGATGTCATACGGCAGAGTTATTGCACTCTATGTACGCGAACGACTTGAATTATGCGTATATTTCCTTTTTATATCCAATATTGATTGAGATAAACAGAGTTAATAAAATGTTCGAGTCAAAAGATACAGACCACACATTATTGTGCGGCGAGTTGACTAACCTGATAGATATGCTTGTCAGCAAAGTTACGTTGCCTACACACAAAATTAATATTTTTGCCCAAAATATCCGAGACTTTTTGGATCCAAAATGCTATCTGGGATACCGATTTGAAAAACATATGCTCGGAATGCGAGAAAAGGGATTACCAACAGAAGAAGAAGAAATAATGCGGACTCGATGCATGCAATTTATAGTGAGTTTAATTGAAGAAATAAAAAAAGGGCTTCCGGAAAATGTGGAATTAATGAGAAAAATTTCGCGGATAAGTGTCGAAAAAGCACTTAGTCATAACAAAGAAGATCTGATCGACATTATGGCTCAATTACACAAAAGTTCTGAATTCATTGCGAAAGTGGACGATCAATGGCGTCAAATTCATTTGTTGAAATGGCAGGAAACCAAAAATACAAAAAGATTTTGGTATGAAGTCCTGCATTTCGAGGATGCACAAGGGGTTTCAAGATTTCATGAATTGGCGACTTTTGCGATCACCCTTTTAATATTGTCGCATTTTAACGCCGATGTGGAAAGACTGTTTAGCAGTATGAATATAATAAAAAAANACTTAAAAGTCTCGATTTCAGGCAGGAAACCAAAAATACAAAAAGATTTTGGTATGAAGTCCTGCATTTCAAGGATGCACAAGGGGTTTCAAGATTTCATAAATTGGCGACTTTTGCGATCACCCTTTTAATATTGCCGCATTCTAACGCCGATGTGGAAGACTGTTTAGCAGTATGAATATAATAAAAAACAAGCAGAGAAACAGGATGGGATTTAATCTTTTAAGTGCTATATTACGAGTAGGTACGCTGCAGTATGAAGTTGGTCGGAAAATGCTGCAACGACTATGAAATCCCAAACAGTGTGGTAAAATTAATTGGTACCAAAGAGTCGTATCAATCGGAGCTTAACGATGATGATGCGGCCGGAAACGAATCATCTGAAGATGACTTCATACTTTAATTTCAAGGATATCTTTTAAAAAATTGCTATAATTTTGTATTCTGTTACATAATGTGTAATTTTAATGTTATTTCTTAATAAATATATCTTAAAAATATTGTTTTCTTTCAAAATGACCACAAATCTGCCAGACAAAAAAATAGTGGAAAATTTAGCGATTTTTACGATGGTGCGATTTTTATTAGTGGATTTCTGGTGGTTTTAGAGGTCAATTCTGGTGGGGAGCTTGATACTTCGTTGGCAACACATATTTGACAACTTCCGAAATTGCTAACGAAAAACAGAATTTATTGTGTGTGTTTTTTAATTGTTTCCCTTTCCAGTGATTGCCCATAACTTCGCTGAATCATATTTTTTCAACTAATAATGTTTTCTGGTCACGCACAAGACGTTATAGAAGAAGATGCAGCGGATTTGCAATTTCCTAAAGGTTAGGATCGAGCTTTATGCAGCCGCCACTTGTCCCACTTCTGAAAAACCTTAAATTTTAGTTAGAACAGCACTCACAACTTATTTATTTCGTTACAGAATTTGAAAATGCAGAAACACTTCTTATATCTGAGGTTGATATGTTGTTAGAACATAGAAAAGCACAAAATGAGTCAGCTGAAGAGGAACAGGAATTTTCAGAAGTATTTATGAAAACCCTAACTTACACCAATATGTTCAAGAAATTTAAAAATAAGGAAACTATAGCAGCAGTTAGGAAGTGAGTATATTAATTTGAAATCACAAATTAATTACTTTCTCTTTGTATGCATAATTGTAGAGGTTGTAAAAGTGCTTGTCACACAAATTAACATAAAGCAGCTATTTGATTGCTAGTCAATAAATGCTTATTGACTAGCAATCAGCATGTATGTAGCAGTTATCTACACATTTAACAGTTGTAAATGTGTAGATAACTGCTACAATCTTAACATACTTAGCTCAAGTTGAATGTCATGTTAACTTCTACTACTACTACTTTGCCTGGCCCATTCCCATTTTATTTGGGGTCGGCCCTCCGCGTCATGGCATGTTAACTTCATAACATTTTTTTTATTACAGCCTTCTTCAGTCTAAGAAATTGCACAAGTTTGAAGTTGCCAGTTTAGCCAACTTATGTCCAGAAACGCCTGAAGAAGCCAAGGCTTTGATCCCATCTTTGGAAGGAAGATTTGAAGATGAGGAACTTAGAATACTCTTGGACGACATACAAACAAAACGGAGCTTACAATATTAATCTAATTTACTTCTCATAAATGAATTTTTAATTTTAAGACTAATCAAAATAAATTCTAATTTTTTGGATATCTTGTTTTATTTCAATACTAGCTTATCATTTTGTCACAGATCATCATAAATTATAGCCTATATGTTATTCTGGGTTATAAGCAATAATACTGTAAAGTTTAATCAAAATCCGTTCAGTAGTTTTTGCATGAAAGAGTAACAAACACATCCATACAAACTTTCGCCTTTATAATATTAGTAGGAAGTGGATAAATCACTTAATTTATTTATTTGTTTACATTATTTTGCCGTTACATCTTTGATTTAAATATACTGCTGCTAGGTTTTGCATAGTGCTATTTTATTTGTAGCTTTTTCCCCACTAATTAAACTGAGCAATTTATTAATTGAACCCGTTATTTCGAAAACCGCACGAGTCACACTTTTTTAAATATAGATTTTTGGCGCCATTTTATTTATTGATGCATTTTATGTATTCCCTGTGAATAGGGCACATTGTCATAAAAAAGTGTGACTAGTGCCGTTTTTGAAATGACGGGTTCAATTATATTAAGCTACCACATGCACAGACAGCCCTTAACTACTGATTGTCTATTGATGTAGAAAATAAAAGGCACATATTTAAATCAGTCTGTATATTGGATATGTCTGCAATACAGCAAGATACATTACAGTGAAAACAGATAAGTGATAAAATATTGGAAACAAAAATAGTAATTAGAATTTCTTCTCTGAAACAAAACTATAATAAAACCATTCTTATCGTTACTTAAAGTAGATACTATTATAATGATGTTAATTAATGCCTCTAACTAAACAAGCCTTTTGTTGAGCACTGCATGTAAAAAAACTAAATGAATTTTTTTATCAATAAACCTCAACAATTTTTAGATAACTTAAACTCAACAATCCTTCGATAATTTTCTTATTCTCTAATTTTGTTGCCTAAACATTATTCATTAACAAAATGCTGAACAAAAGACTTGCTTGAATTATAAACTTATCTCAATGGGCACTTTTGGTTTAGTTTAAATGTTAGTATTTAATCTAATATCATAGTAATAAAAATTACAAACTTATTATTCATCTAAAAGCAAACTTTAAAATAATATTAACTGTCTATAAAAGAACTATCAAATCTAAGGTCCTAGCCACATTACTTTAGGGTACACCTCGCGTGTTTCCTACCCTGAACATATAAAAATATCTTTATGTACTTTTAAAACATTTACAATTCCCATATAAAGATGTGATAAGGTGTTATGTATCTCAACTCTGATTCGAAACATTTGGATGGTATAAATTAAAACATCTTTATTTAGAAATCACTGTGTAGTACTTTAAATTAACACGGACCATTTTATAGCACACATTCATTAATAGCTAATTTTTCGGTCACTTTACTAAAAATACTAGATCTTAAATTAGGTAACGTTTTATTGGGAGAAGCTTACATAAACCCTAAATTACAACCTGGACCTGTGACATAAGTCTAAAGTATTGTATATCGTTAGTAAAGCATAATGTCGTTTGTATTCTGAGTGTGGGGTCTACGCATGGAAGCAGACGGGAAGCAAGCCAAATATAACCACTAAGCGAACTTGTCACAAACGTTACGTCGATCCAACATGTGTAAAGATGCAAATCAAAACGCACATGAAATTACACAACTTTATACATATAATTACACAACATTTTTATGCAACAGAGTTGGGATTTACATAGGTCTGCTTGCTGCTAGTATATTTTTTACATTACAACTAGATATTGCACTTAGTCCAGAAACAATCTACAGACATTCGGGTTTTAAATACTGGCTCGGTTTTACTTCCATGTTAATATGTTGCACAGTACAATAAATTAATTAATATTTATAACATGCGCATGTTGTTATTTGAGAAATTATTTATACATCGTAAAATAAGTGTTTATGGTTGGGTTCAAGATTCGCTGGCCAAATTTCTGTTATTTCAGAACATTCCTTTCATCGCCTTTGTTTTGCCACAAAAATTCACTGTAGCGCGAACACCCTGATCTTTTGTCACAAGTCGTTTACTGTACAGACCTAAATTGCTACTCAGCACCGTCGATAATACTTCACAACTCCGGGATACTGTTAAGGTACTTCGTGCCGGGCGAACTGAGCATCCCTACTGCTATACGTGGCAATCACTCGATATTTCAGGTAATATACGCCTCAATAACATTCCTTACATACTGAGTTTGGAATATTGAGGTACAATTTCCTGAAAATCAGTTTGCTTGTATAGAAAAAGTATGATCGACCACGCACCACCAACGAACGCGTGACTCTTTGAGCACTCACAGCATCAGTACCTAAAGTTGTCAAGTCACATTCAACATTCAACTTCAAACGCTTTCACTTACATATCACATTCATTTACTGAATAATCAATAGATACTAATATACATAAGCAACTGGAAATATTACAATCACAATGTTTACATTTCAAATTCGGCATGTATCATAAGTGGCTCATGATATAAATTTTGATTTGAGCAATGACAAGATTCAAAATACTCTATAATCCAAAGGCGAGCCATCCAAAATATATATTTGCCGTCGTAATTTACAAAATGTTAAAAAATAATTGAATACGTCCAAAAGCAGTTCTAACTATGTTTATGAAAGTTGTCAACATACTACATTATCAGTCTCGATGTTCAAAATGCATTTTGGCCAAAATGAGAGATCGAACTGGCATGGTCCATCCATTCCTTGGCATATGTATTTCATAAATACACAGTACCGCGCAGTACCCATGATACCTGATACAGGCACTGTGACAGTTTAAAAGTTCAACTCAAGAAAAAATACTTTCAAGATTTTCTATCCTGTAAAGAAATCGGGACAAATCAAATTTTAATATTTACCAGGCACTTAGATACTACCCACTACGAAATTGTCAAGTTACCTGTATCAAAGTATGAGTAAAGTTTAAAATTTCAGTCTATTTTCGTACATATTCTTTATCAAATCCGACAAATTTAAAGCTCTTTGTTAGAAAATCGGTTTAGCAATTTATTACCAACGACCACAATTTTTATACTCTGGCCCTTTACGATATTTGGTCCGAGGTATTTAGTTTTCCATTTTTGTAATAAAAAAAACTTACATTGAGTCACTAAAATCATTATACACTATTCAAGTTTTATGTTTGCTGTATTTTATAGTGTTATGTACACAATTTTAATTAATACATAAAAATGAGATCAAATATATATTCCAGTCATATGAGATGGAGGTATGAATGATATAAGTAACTTAAATAAAAAAATAGAAAAATAAACTTTTACATAACTATTGTACCCATTATAATATACTCAGTGCAAAACCTTACATACTCATATCTCTTCAGAATACTTTCTCAATTTGTTTGGTTTAGTTTAAATTTAAAGTGCTGTTTAAAATTGCTTTGGTTGATCCATGAGCCATGATATTGAGTAATATAGCAAAAAAATTGCTTGTACAAGATGTTTTTATACAAATTGATATTTTTATATTCTCACTCACACTATATTGGAAATTGACATACATCCGATACCCAGTAAAGGTCATATCAAGTACGAAAAATAATTCATTATTGTCAGAGTATGAAGAATGACCAGATTATTAATATGACATGAAGCATACATTTCGTTGATAGGCGTATCATTTTGCAGAAACGTAAAACTAAGTTATTCACTGTGTTATTTCACAAATCTACAACTATAAAAATGTTAATTAGGTAGATATGAAACGACAAATTTTGTAAGTCAATACAAAAAATAAAGCAAAATATAGCGACACCGAAAATATTGTTACACAAAGTTAAAAATTATTAACACAAGTTATTAGAAAGACAAATTAAAAACAATATGGTACTTTTAGTACTGAAAATTAAAACATACAAGTCAAATGTTCTTTAAATATTAAAATGGTTAATAAGAGAAGTACAATGCAATGTTACTATTTATATGTAGACGTTAGGAAAGTATTCCTAATTTAGGGCAAGATCTCTAGTCAAACATTTCACTCAGTTAAGATGAGAGTTAACTACCAACATGAACTCGTTTACAACGAATATTTATCATTAGTAACATTATATGCTATTCAAATAATTCAATTAGAGACCGCCAACGGCAATTTATCTTAGTTCAGTGAAATCTTATTAAAATTTTATTGAATAAAATAATCACAGCATTTAAGCCAAATAAGAAACTTTCCGAAAATAAGTGCTGTGTTTCCTATTTCATAATACTTTAACGTAATATTCACTTTGAACATCAGCAATGTACAATCAGTCAGATAACGATAAAAATCCGATCTGTGCCCTATTGTTCAAACGTAATATCTATTGCAATGGCTTTCACATGCTAATTAAAATAAGAGTTTTCACATAGATATTTTGGTGATGTATTCATGTTTTTTTTATGTTTTGATGGTTAACTTGTGTCTTGGAACAAATTCTGGTTTAAAACTTGAGCGAAATCTTAAATCAAAGCTAGATATGGTAATAATTAAAGATTTAAGAGAACAACTTATTGTGAAGTTTCTGTGTAAAATTGTTAGTTGATCAAATTCGGCTCAGTTAACGATTTAAGACATTAAAATTTCGCATTTCATTACAATAAAATTATTACTGATCGTATAAAAGAAATACTCTTCTTTATCTTCTATTGTCTCTGGCCAGATTAGGAATAAAATTTAAAAAAATCGAAAGCAATCGCAACATTATCCGTTGAACAACACAGGCAGATCGTGAATACTGAAAAGTCAAAAGAGAAGTGGCATGTCATGTCATTGAACTGGTCTAGCTTACTGGGCCGGTCAGTGAGGGGCGCGGGGCGCGGGCGGGGACGACGGCGACGGCTGCAGCGGCTGGAAGGCGGAGCCGAGCGACGGCCGCAGCGTGAAAGCGGCCACCGCCGGTTTTAGCACGGACACCGGTTCTGCGTACGCGCCGTCGCCTGCTTTTAGGTTTACCTGGAGCACAATTAAGTTTGTAGGTTAGAACCTTAGGTTTCTTGGTTAGAATGAGGAATAAAATTTAAAAAAATGGTTATCATAGCCCACACTATAATGTGATAAAGTTAACCAAGTTAACCCTGTATAACAAAAAAAAATTCAAAACTGGATTAATTCTCAGTCATCAGATCGGTCTACTAGCAGGTAAAGTACAAGTTAAACCAGTTAACAATTGTTTTGCTATCCAACATAATCAAAATGGTAAAGTTTTATAATATTCTTCACTTGATGATTTATTATGTTACTAGTATTGTTGTTGCTTTTACATTCTTTTATAGTTGATAAAAATGTGTTTGTAGCAAAATATGAGTGAAACATGTTTTCTTTTTTTAGCTAAAAATTAATGTTTAATTAATGTTTTTTAGCTAAAAACAATAAGCTGTAATTACCTTTTCACAACCATCAGGTGGTTCTCGAGCAAGGAAGCGATTTATTTGGGGCGATGTTCCGAGTTTAGATCCGTCCAGATCTGGTGATGAGCAGACACTACCGCCTAGAAATTAAAATAAATGTTAACATCTACTTTTAGTGACGATGCTACTATTTGGCAATTGTCAAGGTACAAACTATTTTGTTGAGAAGCGAAAGCTCAAACGAAACTCAAAGTCAAACTAGACCGCAATTCTTTTAAAGTTCTACATAAAATAAAAAATCAGCGTCTGACGTTTACTATTTACACTAAAAACTTCTATCAACATGAGCACAGGCAAAGAATCTGTAACATGCTAGGGACCGCAAAACCACGACGTGTGCATACAACTATTGCACATTGCAAGGGTTCTAGAAGCTGTAATTTGATTATGAGACGACCTGCCGCTAGTAGTTCCGAGGAGCCCTCACTGGAGAGCGACCCCCGCGACGGTGGATCTATTGCCCACAAAAATAAAAATGTTGGGACAAATTACCATGAAATACAAATTATGAACAGGATAGCTGATAGATAATTTGCTTCTGTTTATTAAACAAAGAATACTATGACGTCACCAGTTGGCTATCTCAATTTACTAAAAATCTAACTATACATCAAATGGAAAAGTAACTAGATTTTCAAGGCAAGAATAAGGTTTTTGAAGAAGTTGTTGCTTTGAACTACCCCAATTGTAAACTAAGTATAAGATAATCTGGAATATTTAAAAAACATTAGTTTTATATTGTAACATCAAATAAAAAATGTATACTATCTTCTGAGACAAATGTAAATTTAAGATAGATTACCTGATGAATGTGCCGTATGACAGAGATCGTGTGGTGTTTGTGTGTTGACGGAGCGCCGGAATAGTTCGGCCAGGGGAGCGCGGTGGCCTTCAGGAGTCACCTGAAACACAAGTCATAAATTTTAAAATCCTATTTTTTCTATGATAAAAGTTGAGTATGTTACAGTTAAATTACTATCAATAGACTGCTACCATGATTGACATTTTTATGGAGACTCAAGTGGCGCAAGTTCTGTGTGCATGAAATAGATAAACACGTAATTGTATATCACAAAAAACAAGAAAAGAAAGAAACAAAACAGAAATCATAATAACAAGTTGTTGTTGAAGTGACAATACATCTTTATAACAATTTTATAAAATCAACGTTTTTTTATGCAATAGGCTTAAAATTGAATTTAAAAGTTTTTGAAAGACGAAATTAATATTACTGCTATAATCATTACTGCACAGAGTGCGCGGCAGCTGCCACAGCGTACTGAAGGAGATAGCCGATAGTGGGGATTGTCCACTGATCGGCCACATGCTCAGCAGGACGAAGTCTGTTTTAGAAATAAGATACTAACATAGCATTTTTACTAACATTATGGATCCCTGCTATCCGAAATAAATACTTTTTATTTTTATTTATTTATTTTATAAAAGCTTCCTTTGGAATAGGCAAATACCTTGTCTCTCAACCGGTCAAGGTGTGGTGTTTGAGTGCCACTCGCAGGGTAGAGCACAAGTTTCTCGATCTCTTGGTTGAGGCCCTCGACCGATGACCGCGCCGCCCGTAACGGCACGCTCCCGCTGCCAAAGCGGGACCCTGAGGATACAAAGACAATGATAATTAGAACACATTTTTGACAACTGCAAAAAGAGGAGCTGTTTGAATATAAGATTTTAAAGTCTGCTTGTGAACACGGCTGCAGCATAGATGAAATGTCAAGCCGTGAGTACGTCTTTTCTATTTTCTACTGTATTATGTACTTGGAAGTCTAACTATAGTACAAACTTAGCTAGCTATTCAAAAATAGTTAGCTAAGTTTGTAATATAATTTAGATATACCTACAAAGGAGAATGAAATTAATTTAGTTTTTACTCAAAAATAATGAGAATGCTCCAAAGAGTATGAAAATACTTTGGAAATTATATTGCAAATTACAGAAACCATTAGTAATTATGTACCGATTCACTTTGCTAAAATAACTAATATTCTCTAGAGAATCAAAATTACTTACAAATTATATTGTAAGCAATACTCACAGAAACCGGGGCTCATAGCATGTGAAGAGTAATCTCCGGAAGCAGTAGGTTTGTGTGGCCTCTGCAGACGACTCCGTAAGAAGCGGTCTAGTTTGTCATCTTCAGAGCCTCTAGAAGATCGACCTGAAGCTCCACCGCCTTCGTCAGTCTAGTAGGAACACAAAAACATCTTTGTAATGCATGTAAACAGACTAAAAATGTATGCGGGTGTATAATATTGTAATAAAATTTGTTTTCGAGAGCCATTTCCTTGCACTGGATTGCAAAACAACATTATTCAAATTGTAATGTGGCAATTACAGTATTAAACAGATAAATGGTTTGTTTACATCAATGGCTATGTTTAGATTTAAATGGACATGAATACATTTCATGTATCTTTTATACATACTTTTGAATGTACAATAAATACTTTAATTTATGTATACCTGAGTAGATTTGTCAACTTGTAGATGGCCAGCATGCAAGTAGTAATCCCTAGACCATTGTCCTTTGTGGTACAAGGTGTCCAGGGAGGCTGTGCGTCTGATCACACTGGCACCAAATCTGCCTTTTCCTGCAATTTAATACAAATCCTAGTTTAATTTTAGGAATAGATACATATTATAGATATTGACTTCAACCAATGTTTCATTACACTATTTTCATTCATTATTTTACAACTCTCAAAGTAATCCATTGTAATCAGTTAAAAATTGTAATAATTTCATTAGATATAATAAAAATAAATTATAATAATAATTTACATTGCTTTTGACTTTGTAAGAGTTTACATTGCTGTTGACCTTGAAAATTAACATGAATGAAATTGAGCTGAAATAATAGATTTTATAAGACTATCAAATTCAAATAGGTTTCTAATTAGAAAAAAAATTCGAAATCACAAAACTAAAATAAACAAAAAGCGTACCTTTGTAATTGACGGCGCCGGGGCTCCTTTGGCCCGAGAGGGCGTGATCCGGAGATATCCGCCGCCACACGTTCGTAGGGGACAGCGTCGGACTGTTGCCGGCGTTCTTCTTCAGACCACCGCTCTGTTTCATCACCGACGAAACCGGTAAGGTGGCCCTCATCGGCCCTTGTTTCCCCACGGGACAGTCCGACTGTTTACGGACGCGACCCGACATTTTCAATTCTCCGGATCACCAAGATGTAACAAAGCGCCGATGCACCACCAACACTCACATTCGACAAACACTGCACAGTAAATAACCAAGGTTGCTTACCGACGCCGCACAGATTCTTTGTAGATTTTTAGGTACCGATAAACAATGATCAAAAAGTAAGTACGAAAGTTATTAATATGCGATACTGTAATAGACTACTCAGTAAATAATTCAGAAATAATATAAGAGTTACATTAAACGTCCGTATAATAATTATTACATAAAAACAGCATTACAAAGCGCACAAGTCACATTTTTTCTGCACAATGGATGAATGAAGCTGACAGATGACAAGAACATCGCGCCATTCCTCTTCTCATAAAATTTTAAACTTATTATCGGCAACTATCTAATGAATGAACAAACCAATTGATGTGTAATTAAAGAAAACATGAGGAAATCATTGAACTAATGACGTTAATCGAAACAATGTACAATAATTCGTTGGCATTGCAATTAACAGCTGATTACTCCGCCATGTCAAGTTAGCTTAGTCTATGGCAAATAGTAGAGAGTAGACACCAATCAGTGTTATCAGTACAAAAAATTTTTTATCTATGGGTCTTATTACTTTTTAGGATGCTGGATTACTGAGCTTTAAATCGAATAAATGAGCTCAGAACAAAGAAAGTAAGATCATCACTATGGCCATCACACACAGTACTGTGCCAACATGAAGAAATAATTTAAGGCGCCTTGAAACCTTCTGTTTGAAATAATATGTAAAAATCTAATTGTTTCACGATCATTACCTTCGAAATTTTGTTTGTCGATAAAAACTGCGAGGCTGATGAATGCCTCTGGTGGTGGGGGAGTCGACACGAGATTCTAGTTTAACTAAGCTCATTGCATGTATCGCACGTTCATAATCAAACCGTCACTATACGAAATTTGGAGAAATTGAGTTAACAACGCCATCAATCAGCGCTCCGCGAAAAGTGCATGCTGTAAAAATCCCACGCTTAAAGCTCAAATAGTTCGGCAGATATCACTAGTGTCGTTATGGAGTTTAATGGGAAAACCGGCATTTGTTGTGAGTAACAGTGACACGTTTTTAGTAGTGACGGGATCTGGACGGGCACGCCGTGATAGTTATGTAAACTCTGTGTTGAAAAACGTCATTTTTAGCATAAAGACGCTTTTACTCCAAAACCATAAGATAAGTCACAATAAAGTAATACGAAAAACGCCTTAAAACAAAAAGTGACAATATTTCTCTTACATTTTTAAAAAGATTGTTCATCACTTCGTAGAATATTGTGTTTATCCAAATAGTGAAATATTAAAACAACAAGAAAGATTTTTAAATGATTAAGTAGTTATAATTTTATCTAACAAAAATGCCACCAGGCAATCCAAACACTAGTAAAATCAAAGAAATTATCAAGGTAATTATTACTTTGTCTAGCGTTTGTGGACTATGAAAAAGCCTTGGATTCGATCGAGATCTGAGCAGTGCTACAGTCTCTCCAACGGTGCCAAATTGACTATAGATACATCGAAGTGTTGACAGGCTTGTACGAAAACGCCACAATGTCGGTTCGTCTCCAGGATCAGGACTCGAAACTCATCCAGTTGCAGCAAGGGGTGAGACAGGGAGATGTCATATCTCCGATACTGTTCAACACCGCCCTGGAAGATGTTTTCAAGCTTCTGAACTGGAGCGGATTCAGCATAAATATCAACGAGTACATAATCCACCTTCGATTTGCGGACGATGTCGTAATCATGGCTGAGACTGTGGAAGATCTAGGCATAATGCTCGATGGCCTAAGTAGAGCCTCTCAACAAGTGGGCCTGATAAATGAGTATGAAAATGAATATGGACAAGACAAAAAACATGTCAAATGTCCATGTAGTATCCACTTGTCTGGAGACTCTACACTCGAAAGTTTGTTGACCTGGGACAAACAGTCCAGTTACGTAGGTCCAACTTCGAGAAAGAGGTCATTCGTCAATCCAACTCGGCTGGGCAGCGTTCGGGAAGCTTCGTGATATTCTCACGTCCGAAATACCGCAGTGCCTCAAGACAAAAGTTTGATCATGTGTGTTGCCAGTGATATTTTATGAATCTGAGAGGTCACCCAAAAGGTGATGGAGCGTGCGATGCTCAGTTAGTTTCCCTACATGATTGAATCAGAAATGAGGAGATCCACAGGAGAACCAAAGTGACCGACATAGCCCGCAGAATCGCTAAAATCAAGTGGCAGTGGGCGGGGCACATAGCTCGCAGAGGTAATGGCTGCTGGATAATGATCCAGAATTTAAACCTACTTCTCTGAGCCTTTTTCCCATGAAAAATCAAAAATCACTATCTAGTTCGTCAAGTTCATCGAGGTCATCAAGTTCTTGTTGTTTAAAGGCTGCCTGAACAAGAGAGTACCTTATTTTCTTAGAAGTTGATTTATGTGATGTAATTTTATAGTAATTTCATGTGTGTAACGTATTTATTTCTGATCGAGAATTTACATTTATTACTGTTACCATTGGTACCACTTAATCCAAATTATTAAGTTTTAAGTTCATTAAAATTACTGATTTTTCTATGTTAGTTTTATTTAATAATAATCATTTTGAAATTTTCATCGTCAAATTTATATGAAAATAGTGACATTTCTACCTGAATTAATAATACAACATCAACATGTTTTTAATTGAAAACTGTCACTGTCTCAATTTTAGTGGAAAAGTGACACTATTTTTAGGGAAAAAATTAAATATTAAATAAACCATTATGATAATTTGAAAGGTAATTATATTTCCGTAAAAGCCAAACAAGCCACTACTGGTATTTAACAAAAAACAAAACATTTAATAGCATTTTGCTCATTTTGCAAAGGTTTTAAAATTTGAGCATTTCAAATGCTTTTCCTGAAAAATCGACTTTTTTGTATAGTGACAGTTTGATTATGAACGTGCGGTATGATCTCGCATCTCAACTTTCTGACAACTTCAGAATCGCAAATCATCCACATTACATGAGTTACTATTTATTTAACAGGGTGATGGATTTATCGTATTCTTAACCGCGTACTCTCAAGTCTTCTGCTAATCTTTATCAAGTTGTTTCAAATAAAAAACGTGTTTTGATTTTGTCATATTTATTATTTATCAATAATTATTACAATCTATGTTTCTTGCAAGATAAATTATAAATGAAATATCACAAATTCACAATGCAAAATATTTAAACAAATTGCACCAAGCACTAATAATTTTTATTATCTCAGGAATGCAAACAAATAAAATATATCTCTCCACTCTTAATGGGTAGGTACTAGATGTGTGTATCAAGATACTAAAAGAATCCACAGGTATCTTAACACTTTTAGTATAAAATGAAGGTTGAAATTTATAAATATCAAATTATACATCACAAAAAGGAAGCAAATAAGTCATCACATTTCTTAGATTTATTTATATGTATAAAAGTGGAACTATTGTTTATAGGTGTGATATACTAAATCTAAAAGTTTTATTAGATACAAAATCCACACTAAGTTGTTGCCTTTGTCGTAAAAATGATTCGGCACCATAAACCCATTACATTCATCATGCATCAAAGAGTGCTCTACGCATAAAAGAGCCACCACGCTCTGTATGAAATCTACACTACACAATATATCTATATCCATACTAGCTTGCCTAGTACTTAGATATATTATAGTCTTGTACAGCTTGCTTATCCATTACTGGTTTCAGCTTGAGCAATTTTTTGCTTTTGTTCTGCGATCCATGCTTGAATTTTTTCTTTTAGTTCTGTGTTGGATTTCACTTGGTCCATGGACAGCGGAGAACGGTTGAAGGGATCCGACTGGTCGCTGAGAAGATGTCTGGAATAAAAGCACAGTTTACGATTTAAATAATTATTTAGTTATATTGGTTATTGAAGTAATTTTTTTGTAATCTAAAATCAAAGAGAATAAAAGCAGTCCGAAGAAAGATATGGTGGTTATATTTTTTTTCTATTTAAATAGAATGTCGCTAACGATATAAAGCTAGCTTACGAGAGATAACAAAAATAAGGGATGATGGGGAGAGATAGCAGAACTACTGTGACGTGAATTATGTTGGTAAATGGTGAAAACAATATTTGCTGAACATAAACGTCTTGGTTTCGGCGCGTCTCACTTCGTCATCCGCGATGTGAAGTCACTGAGTGTGTCCATCGTTGACCCCGACCGATGGTGGTCCGATGTAGTACCGGCCCGATGGTGGTCCCCGAGCCAGGGAATACAAAGAGATCCCCCGTGTGAGACATCATGACGGATCCCCTTGTATCGCCAAGCTCGGGGAAGACGAAGATCTTCTGGCGAGTTGACCAGGATCTCGGTGAAGAGTAGACTTTGTTGCATATCATTCGAAGTCAATTTGACTTATTTGAGCGCTCCTTCTGTATGCAATTTCATATCAGATGCTCTTGTCTTTTTAACTTTGACCTCTTCTTTAATATTTAACCGGCCAGTAAGACGAGCGCGTTCAAGTAAACGTTATTCGCTGCATCAGGTAGTGTCGTGTCGTGTCCTGAACTATTTCTTACGCATCTGCCAACATTCACATCGTAAACTGAATCACCACTTTATCAGAAGCCCCTTACATTCAATACGTACCTAGCAATGGTGGTCCTGTCTACGGTGGTCCTAGAGCTGGGCAGGACCACGGGGTCCATCATGATAGTGCTCATGATAGGGTCAAGGAACTCCTCGGGGGCGTTGGCCAGGATCTCTTCGTCGCGCTGCCTCTGTTCTGCAAGTCTGCCCACGCGAGTCGCTACCTCTTGCAGGGAGCCTATGAGACCCCCGCCGCCGATACGGACTGCAAAACAAATGCTGATGGTTAGAATCGATACTAATCAGGAGTCTTTTTGTAAGCGTTCAAGTAGCGCTACTCTGCAACTCTAATAGACACACTAGCATTTGAATTTGCGACACTGTGCAGGCGCTAGCAAGATGACGATGTTAGTGTGGGGGGTCCCTGAATAAGTGTAATATAGGTCTACACTTCAGGCATGCTGGGCATACGAGTTGGAGTTCTGACAGAGTGGAATAGGAGCACTGCCACTCGCAATGGCTGTTGTAAAAGGCGACCAAAAACCATCAATACTTCTATTTTGAGTCGGCTCGACGTCGTCGCTGAGTCTCACCTACTACCTAAATAGTTAATATCTTTTTAAATAAATAAGCGTCCTAATGGAATGGAGGCCGCGTACCGGAAAACGCAGCGTGGGACGTCCACCTACAAGGCCGACCAACGACATCGTAAAGGTAGCAGGGAAGCGCTGGACGCAGGCCGCTACCAATCGACCAACGTGGAAAGCATTGGGGGAGGCCTATGTTCAGCAGTGGACGTCATATGGCTGAAATGATGATGATGATGAAGCGTCCTATTCCTCACCCAGCACGGCCTCGGCCAGCGTGAAGAGCTGCGGCGAGTAGGAGCGGCCGTCGTCGGACACGGCGGCGCAGAAGCGCTCGTTGCTGCCCAGCTGCACGTACATGCGGCAGATGTCCAGAACAGTGCTGGCCGGCTCGAACTCGTACTCTTTCATGTCTTTCACCTGGAATTTTATTAAATGAAGTATTTTTTTTCTAGTCATTATTCAAAAGCTAAAAATCTCGATGCGGGCAGCGCTGAAACGGTCGTTGTTGAAATCCTTGGGGGAATCCTTTGTTCAGAAGTGGACTGTGTGTCAGTTAGCTTAGCAAAAACTACTCGACACGTATTTTTCACTTTTTAAAACTAATGAAAATGTAAAGAGATAAACCGTGCCAAAGTTCTAAAGAAAAGGCCCGTGACGTCAGTGAGTGCGTAAAAGTGCAGCACTTTGTGACGTCGCGCGGAACTTCAACGCACTATAACTTTGTAATTATTTGTTTGATTAACAATTAAAAATATACGTGTCCAATATTTTTTTATATTAAAATTGATGGACTAAAAAATTTTTTTAGGAAACTAGCCTGTTAGCTGAAACAAACGAACAAAAAAAATCTATGACATTTAATGCGTCCATATGTTTCAAGATATGAATAAACGAATCGAAAAAGAATAGAGACCACAGTTGGAAGTCCTGCTCGATAAGCCGAGGACTTGCAAGTGGAGGGCTGACAGTGGTTGAATTTAAAAAGACCGTGCTTTGTATTTTAATGACTTGGCACTCAAGTCTACTTCAAAAGTAGACTGCCATGATGACACTTAACTGACTTTATAATTTTGATCTGAAATAGATTCCCGGTCGCAGAATTCTACGCGATCTCATGGAAATACATACATGCCACATAGATGCATATTGCATATACCCTACCTATTAGTCTAGAATGTGTTTGAGAAGTTAAAGCTGCATTTACCTTGAAATTCTTCTTATTGGGTCCCACGAGATGCAACAAGAAGTAGTTGAGCATAGAAGCGATTCTCTCGACCAACGTCGGGTGACAGAACACGTAAGGCGCGTGAGCCGTCAACCGGACTAGTGTGCGGATGGTGTCGCGTCCTAGGATGTTGTCGAATCGAGCCAACATCCCGATGTGGGATAAATTGCCTAGATTCTGCTCGCGCTCATTGTTAGGTAAGTCGTTCCAGGCGCCTGATTCTCTGTTGAAATTAAAGTTATTATGCACTGTGCATGTCCGCTGGAGATATTAAGTCAAATATTGATGTTAAAAAATCCTCTCGCATTTTTCATGCAATGAATAATAAAATTAAGGTTAGACCAGACCAACGCGTGCAGCCGGCGTGCACGATGACGATGGCGATGGCGACCAGACAGTGTGTATAGTTCCAAAATACTGGACTGTCCTGTCGATGACATTGACAGTGGGGCGCCACCGTCAATACCGGATCGCTGGTTCAGATTTTTGCCATGTTGGAAACCATATAGTTGAACGATGGTAGCGCCCCCCTGTCATTGAGTTTGGCGGGACAGTTCAGCGTGGGTCATCTATATGAATTTGCAGCGATGTGTTCACATCAACGCGTCCTGTCATTGGTCGCGGCGATCTATGCAGCGTCTGCACGCAGCGATCAGCGATCATCGCGACATTTGGCACTGTGACGTTTCTGTTTTTTAAAATCGATGTAATAAATAGTAAGTAGGATCTGTTAAAAAGTTTTACACAATTAAAAATGAATTATTCATAACATACCACTAGTCTGACCTACTTGAATAATAAAAAAGGTTTTAGAATAAAGTATCAATATCAGAATTTATTTTTATGTATTAAATAAATTATTCTAGTTTTCTTGAGAACCTGCTTCTTCAAATTCATAAATAAAATTGGGATATTATCTGCAGAACAAAATAATTGAGAATGTACATGTCTGCAGCTTTCTCAAAGGCCCTAGAGCAATTCTAAGTACTTATGCCATAAATAAAAACCTAATTAAAGTCATCAAACGTCTCAGTCATTAATTTAGTGCCACTAGAAACACCTAGTTGATCAAAACTGGGTTTTTTGGGTTATTTTTAAAGACAAAAAAGATATTTGGACTATTATGTACTCTGTGGTTTGGGTGCATAATGTAATTTCCTTTGCCTTAAAAAAAGTAAATGTCAAGATGACTGTTGCACCAAAAATGAAAATGAAAATTGATTTTGATAGATGTTGTGTTGAGTTCTGTGTAGTTTTGTGCAATTTAACGATAAGAACGACAATGGTAAAAGATAATGGGGGCAAATTTTTTCCCTCCAGGAAAAAGATGAATTGGTTATATAATCTTACTTGCCCACAAGGATACTGTACGAGCACGTCAGCATCGACCGCGACCTACAACATGCTAGCCGACTGGCCCATGAACCCTGAACGAACGTGCACCGTAGGCACTCTACACCGACGGCACATTGGACTGGACACATTGAATTGTGTATATTATGTAAATCTTGTATATGTATAGCAATAGCATAACAGTAATAAACCAGATATCAACCGTCCGCGTTGTGTTTTATTTCCCCCACTGAGGCCAAGAAAGCTTTAGTGCAGTCCTCCTTCCTATCAAACCTTTCTTTAAATCTAATTAAAATGTATTGTTAGGGCTCTAGGGACTACAAACGAAGCCAGAAATATAGCTTGGTTATGAGTAACCAATACCTACTACCAATACCGCATGTAATCCTGTCTCATTCTATAATATATGGCCGCCTGAATAAACTTGAGTGAAAAAGTGTTTCCACTGTCTCAATTGCATCAAAAGCTCCAAACAAATCATTTAATTCAGTTTCCATTTTGCCGAATAGGCGTGATTGACAATATGCGTGACAGTTGTGGTGACAGTGACAACCTGCACGCGCAGTGATCGCCATCGCGGTCGCGGCAGTGTGAAACAACTTTTGCACGCGCAGTGGTCGCCATCGCCATCGCCATCGCTGCACGCGTTGGTTTGTCCGAACCTTTATGCGATTTGATATTTGCAATACAAAAAATATCCCTCTCACTGGGATTTGATAATAAATGTGACATAAATGAATAATAATAATTACATAACATCAAGACAAAAATATGTCTTTAAAATGTTCATGCGCATGAGTGAGTACATTGTTGATTTCATTATAAACACAATACCGAATTACAAATATTTAAAATCTCGTGACGTCAAACGTTAAAACAACACGCGTAGTTACGTGATGTGGCGTCACACACACTCAATGTTTAAATGCTTGTTTGTCTTCTTTAATTTCCGATACTCCGATGAATAAAAACATGGAATAATAATTACTTTTTTTTAATTAAGTCATTGAACGCCGAGACGCTAGACACAATGGAAATTGTATTGTTCGAGGCTCACCGGTGAGCCTCGAACCAGCAAATATGGAAACCTTCCAATCAGCAAATATGGAAATCTACGTGGACGACTTAGGCCCGGTTTCCACCAATAAAGCGGAGCGGAGCAAAGAAGAGCGGAGAAGTGTCGCTGTCAAATTTTTCTATGGAATTTGACAGCAGCGGCGGCGGAACTGTGCGGAGCGCAAAAGAGAAGTGGAAATAAATATTGTAATCTGATTGGTTATTCAAAACCCTTCTCCGCTCTGCCTTGGTTTCCACCAAGGCAGAGGCATTTCAGCCATAAGGCCCGGTGGAAACCGGTGGAAACCGGAAAAGTAACCAATCAGATAGTAATTTAAGACATAATACATACTGGGCGGTCTGCATTGTGCGAATCTGGGCCATGTTTCCTAGAGCCTCGTCCAATAGGAAGATGGCGTCGTTCATCAGCAGGTTCACGAAGCGCAGGAATATCGGCGGGTGGACGGCCTCCATATTGGATTCTGCCTCTTTGGCTAGACGCCTGTAATATAACATTTATATTTCTTATTGTATTTCTGGTAAAATAGGCAGCTGTAAAATAGGCAGCGACATAGCAGTATTATTTAACTGTCTTTGTTTAATAGAAAATCTTGTAACCAAGTTACCAGTGAAAACAATAATAAGTTTAGTTATGAAGAATCAATAAATTGTAATTTAAAAACTTCGTTAATGTAAAGTTCATCCACCTAACTGTTCCTGGATACATACTTATATTTGATAGACTTGAATATTCTTTTCTAACAAAAAGATGTAAACTTACGTAAAAGCATCACGGTGCTCTTCCATGCCCCAAAGGAAGTCCATAACAAGATACATGGGGCGGCGGTAGTTGAACTTCTGCTCGAACTGAACGCTTTGGCCAGTCATTTCAATGCCCACGAAGACATCCAGCAAACATGGCACCAGCTGTGGAATAATAATAATAAAATCTTATTTATTTCTCTTACATACAGTCAGCGTCAAATAGTTTGTGACACCCAAAGGACCAAAAAGTTGATACAACTTTACTTACTTACTTTTTAAAAAGACATGTTGTGAAGTTATTGGCTGCTTTGGTGTCACGAACGATTTGATGATGACTGTACAAATGATTAGTGTCTTACGTAATGAGTAATGAGCTTTGTGGCACTGATATAGGTTTCAGTGATAAACCCTATTCAAGGTCACCAGTGCTCCACCCACAGGTAAAGATTTTGAGATTCAATATTATCCACCTGGCAGCATTAATCATTCTGCAAATCTACACCACACTACTGCGGTTTTTAACCGACTCCAAAACAGGAGGAGGTTCCTAATTTATATGGTTTTTTTTCACCTACTGTCTGCTGCCTTTAGCTGGATAAAGTTTAGCACATTTTAGTCGCTGATTTAAGCGTTAAAAAAACCATACCTGTGCTCTATGCGGATGTTCTTTGAAGAGCTGTTCCCTGTAGAACGAAGCTAAGCTGCTAAGTGGCTGCTGGTCATCGGGGTGGTTTGGTAACATAGCCTCCAAGCATTCTGCAAGTCGGGCCCTAGAGATCATACAAATGTCACCTTCAGAATAACTCGTATTTTTGACTTATGTAATCTATTAATGACACTTGTAACAAACTGCTATGGAAAAAAATAGCATTTCAACAATTTGTTCAATCAGGCATCCAATTCAATTCAAGTAGGTTAACTAAACTATTTACACACCAGTAAATCAAGCTCTCTTATAAACCAACCGGCCAATCTGTAGGTCTAGGATGCACGTATATAAAGCCTACACATTTGTCGTCTAAAATCATCGATAATATTTTATTATGGAGTGCATCCTAGCCTGACTGGAAATTATTAGGGGAGGCCTATGTTCAGCAGTGGATGTCACTGGCATAATGTTTCCAATACCACATTTTAATCATCCTAATAAATTCAGGGATTAATTTCGTTAATCTAGCGATACAAACCTTAGATGTGGATTGTAGGTTCGAGATGAATCACCCATGAACAGCAACACGAGGGTCAAAGCCGGCTCCAGCAGGCCGGCTATCTCGGCCTCTTCAGCTATGGCGCCGACCGTGCGCCGCGCCATCGTTATCAACACCACTATGTTCTCAAGCACGAACTCTGGAATGCACCTGTTTTAAAAAAAGCCCATTTATTTTAAACTTTAAGGTCTTTGTTCGTTCGTTCGTTCGTTTCAGCCGAAAGACGTCCACTGCTGGACAAAGGCCTCCCCCAAGGATTTCCACAAAGACCGGTCCTGCGCCGCTTGCATCCACGCACCTCCGCGACCTTCACCAGATCGTCGGTCCACCTAGTGGGTGGCCTGCCCACGCTACGTCTTCCGGCTCGGTATTTGTACTAGTAGAAAAATTGCGTCAGTAGAATATACAACAATCTACAAGGGTACAACACGTAACCGAAAACTTTAAATTGGCAGTCTAGTTGCAATAAGTCTACCATGTTCACCAAAAAAAAATCGGTTTTCAGCGGGTCCGGTCTAACCGCTACTATTACGTCATCGCTTGCAAGCCGTCCAGGCTTGTTAACATGTCGTTCTCGAGAGCGCATGCTTAGGAATCATACCTTAGTTAGGGTAGGCGCGGGCGGATCGGGTCTGACCGCCACTTATACGTCATCGCTTGCAAGCGATTCAGGCTTGTTAGCATATCGTTCTCGAGAGTGCATGATTAGTAATCATACCTTAAGGTATCAGGTGGTGGAGAAGCCACCGGCATCTCAACCTTCACGACGACGCCCGGCGCGTAGCTGGGCTGCGGCGCGGGCGGGTCCGGTCTGACCGCCACTTGCACCAGCCACGTACACGTCTTCGCTTGCAAGCGGTTCAAGCTTGTTATCATGTCGCTCTCGAGAGCGCATTTTTAGTAATCATACCTTAGGGTATCAGGTGGTGGAGAAGCCACCGGCATCTCAACTTTAACGACGACGCCCGGCGCGTAGCTGGGCTGCGGCGCGGGCGGGTCCGGTCTGACCGCCACTTGCACCAGCCACGTACACGTCATCGCTTGCAAGCGGTTCAAGCTTGTTAGCATGTCGTTCTCGAGGAGAGCACAGCGCATGCTCAAGAATCTGGGGAGGAAATTCCTTAATTTAGAAAATACGTAAATAGCTTAAATTAGAATTGTTTTGGCAAGATTATTACGGTTGTATGACCTTAAGATGTTCTATGAATCTTGCCAACAAACAAAGGAGAATAACGTAAACACCGCACTGGTTATGTCTAATGATTTAAGTTAAGGAAGTGTCTCCACTAATTATTCGGTGATTTTAGCGGTTTTTAAACCCAGAGGGAATTTAAATCACTACTGTGGTGTGATATTGTGAGATTTGGCTCCACCTCTTCCTTCCTCCCTCTAATCTCACGTGAGATTGTTCAAATTGCGTATTCTACTCGTGCTGGGTACTCACTTAGTCATGAGATGGAGGGAGCGCTGGCGCATCGGCTCCACCAAGTGATGTGCGCTTGCGGCTACATCGGATAAGGCGCGCTGAGCGCGGCCCAGGTCTTGTCCGCAGCGCCATAGCTTCTCCGCGCAAACGCGGACGCCTACAAAATAAAAACAAAGAAACATTTATTGCAATGAACAAAGACAAAAAAGGGACAGAAAAAAGATAGAAGTAGTACATAAAACATTACGAAGGAAGATAAATTCTACTGAACATAGCCACCTTGTCGAAACAGTGATGCCCATTGCAATGGGACACCCGGCATTTGCTGCTTTAAAATAGATAGTACAGATTATTTTATACATTTTTGTTGTAAATAGCACCAACTACAACATCAAATGTCACGGTGTTAAGCTTGATGTGATGTCTGTACATTGGAAATTATAGAAAACAGCAGTTATATTTTTTATTACTCCAAAATTCAATGTAAAAAGTTGTAGAACAACATGATTGATATCTCATGAACATTACAGCCTGTCACTGATCACTTTTTTCACTTACCTAAGTCAATGCACTTCTGTGTCATAAAAAAGCACTCCGTAACAAAGTTGTACATTTCAGCTGTGGGCCGCTTTAGCGATTGGCCGTCTTCCCCTTCGCGGGCAGGCAGTAGGCACGTCTCACTGTGCAGGCAGTCCAAGTGTACTGACTTTGCTGCACATTCCTCTGGCTGAAAAAATATATAACTTTATTAATAGTTATAAAAAGTAGTTTCAACAAAATTTCTTTGTCAGCAGTCAAGCTTTTAGTTGCTAACAAAGTAAAATTTTATAAGTTTTAAAATAGAAAGCCTCAAAGGAAAATTGAACCCAGAAAGTTTCACTTGTGTAACACACAGTGAGCTGTAGTATTTTTAAGTTTTAATTAAGTTTGAGACGTATCTTAAGTAAGCGTAATCTTATGAGAAACAATAAGTTCACAATAAATTAAACGGAATGCAAAATGATAATACATAAAACTTACCGGAACTGCTCCATAAGTGGGATCAATTTTCAGTGACTTAGGGTCATCGGCTGAGACGCAAAATGGCTGGCACAACTGAAGCAGAACAGCACCCAGGTTCAGCATAAATCCGTCCGATACACAGCTCATTGTCGCTGCACTTACTTCTCCTGCCTAGAAGAATAAGAGTTTAATTTATAAAATAATAATATTCCACGTAAAAAGTGAGTATCTGAGTAGCTTGGGTATCTGTATCTTTGCATGCTTCTTCTAACACTGAGCTGGCATGTAAAAAGTTTCTGGTTGGTGCATTACTTTGGTTTCCTGTGTTATTAGAGCTAAGAGCTACCTTTTCGTCCCGAAAATATTACAAATATTTTTGTACTTACTTGAACATTCCAAAGCTTTCCTCTAGCTGCATTACTCTTCAAGCACTTTCCTATCCATGTAAGTAGACGGTTCCTCATTTGGGGTCCAGCTTTCAGGAGGGTTAGAAATATCCGGTGCAAATTGTTTATTAGGTGGGATGAGGCATTCCAAATTGATGACTCCATCATTGATGTAGCTGACTGCAAACAAAGAAAAGAAACCATAGTCATTATCGCTTTACTCATGGCAGATACACTGTAACGAAATTTATTGTGTACAAACATCTAATGGATGTGCATTTTTGTGAAATAAATTAATTTAAATTTGAATTAAAAAATTCTATGTTCATTATCTGAGAACAACCATCTAACTAATACATGCCCCTATATGAAGTCACAGTTATAATGATAAAGATTGATAGGCAACAATTAAATTACCTGGTCCATTGGGTTGTCGAAGAATTCATGAAGTGATGTGGCAGTCTTTGGTAAAACTGATAAGCTTAATAAGGCACCAAGCACCGACTCTTGATACAGTCGCCCCATGGAATCTTTCTTTGGTTCGCAGGCTTCCATCAGAATTAGAGCCAAATTTGAATTACCTAGAACACATTTATGTTACATTGTTGTTATTCCAAATAAATAAATACATGCTATACTATTTACTTAAGGAAATTAGTCTTGAAGAGTAAACTGCATAAAATAATTGTTAAATAACTATGTAAAATATCTTTTATCCAATAATAAAGGCTTATTATTAAAACAAGTACTTACTGGCAAATATTTGTATAGACGGTAAAATATAAATAGGTAGGTTAATAAGATTAGACTTATTGACATCAAACTGAATCTTTTCTAATACTGGAATCATGGATTCTTTGAGCTGGACCATTACATTATCGTCCTCTGAAAATAAAAATTACAAACATTAATAAAAAAAAATATTATGTAGGTAGTTGGAAGAAATGTTATTGTTAAAATTTTGAGATGATGAAGTTGATGATATACTTACTGTCTGCAACAAAAGCTTCTACAATGTCTACAAAAAATGTGTGGCTTTGTGGATCAACATGCTGCAAGAGTTCCACAAGTTGTACCCCAAAATTCTGGTCTTCAAACAAAGCCGGTTGCTTCAGAGCTGTCACGGCATTCCTGAATATTAACTCTCTCATTTTCTGTAAAGCAGTCTTCACATACGGGGTACTGACTTGATCATAACTCTGCAGGTTTTGCATCGAACTAAATAAATACGGAAAAACTTGTCTTTGAATTACGTGATCTTTGAACATTCGACATGTTTTTGGTATAACATAACTTTCAGGGTTAGGTAACAGCAATCTTTCAAAGAGCGCTTGTTCTAAGGCCTCTAGGTCAATGTGTATACGAGGTTTGACAGCTTCTGATAGCTCTTCCAAAACAACCAGTTGTCTCTCTGTAGTTGGACACCTTTCCAGAGCATTCGAGTTTATCGTGAAGTGGAAAACATTCTCAACTATGTTGTTTATAGTCTCAGCCTCTTCGTCCTCTTGAGTGTTCTTGGATGCTATACGTAAAGTTGCGTTACCCTCGTTGTATTCTGTAGTATTTGCTGGTTTGGTTTCAGGTATTCCTAATAATCCAGCAAATGGATTATTTGGATCCGACATCGTTGCTTGCTCACTATTTGATTAACTTAAAGACAATGTAAATGTTAATAACATAATTATTATGAATAAGGTATTTAAAGAAACGCTTTATACAGACACATTTAACTCAGAAACTTGAATGATATCCAGATTTTGTATTTTTACAAAAAATGCTGACTTATCACGAATTTGATAAAAATGACATTTGGATGACAGGAACATTTGCAGTTTAGAAAACCCGATTTTAAAAAACAATACATTTTTAATAATTGAAAATCTATTTTGAAGATTATTTAAGAATAACAAAAAACAAGAAATAGTACTTTAAAATACAAATTAATTCACATTACAATATTTTTTCGGTCGGTGTATTATTTTATTGTTAAACGAACCTGTTACCTTTTCCGTTTCCTTACGCCTTGTAGAATATTGGTAGCATTGCTATCACTACAGTCATTTGAAATACTTATTTATAAAATATACTTTAATTTTACAGTAAAAATCATGACATGATGCAAAAATTCTATTTAACTTTTTTTTATTAATACATTACTAAATTAAATAATCAGTAGACACATAAAGCGTTTTGTTAATAATTTTCAGATAGTACCGAGTTTTTTTTCTCATTGTGGCTAACTTGGAATGCACACTAGCTCCACTGATTGGATTTGCCCGTGATCAAAAACTGAACTAAATGTTTACGAATGAATTCCGCATTCTCCGCTTCGTTTCGCCGCAGTCGTCGTCCGTAATCAATATTGCGTACTCGAATTGTTACGTCTTTATGCAGCAATGCTATGAAAGATTCCATTTTACATGGCGTTTAGTAGTCGCACATAGTGAATCGTTCATTAATGTAAGATTGGTAACACTTATTAATATTTTACTTATTAGGACATTAACGAATGCGTGACCCCCTATTTTAAAAGTAAAGTGCTTGATCAGCCACAAAGGAGCATAATACACACGTGCAGTATCAATTTGCTACACATTCAACATAATTAAATCGTGTTTCGTATATTTCACGATCTAATTTTATTTTGTTCATTCAAATCTATGATCCGGCTGGTTGTAGAAAACTTCAAAATGGCGGTCCGTCAATTAGACTACTCGAGATCATTTTTATTTTTATAATTTTCTTTGCAAATAATTCCTGTGCATGCAATATTTCCATTTTCGTTTACCTAGTATTTATTAGCTAAATACCTATTATCTATTTCAAGCATTACTCCTTTTAATTCTGTTTTCTACCTTCAGAATTTGGTGTTGGTAAAATGTGTTTATTTTAATTTTCAATTCATTATTTCGTCATTTTAAAAAATGCTGGTCATTGAGGTTCTAATTGTTATTTTGTGTAAATAACTCATTATCACAAGATACTATTTTAGTAGGTGCAATGCTACCAAATTAGATTGTCGTAGCAGCAATCATGGTATAATACGTCATCTGCTTTGACGCCTAGTGTATTTGTGTGAGTGAGCGTATACACACGGTACTTGACCTCGTTGAGGAAGGACACACAGATATGGATACGTTGCCATTCTAGAAGGCTGACGTCATTCCAATCGTGGCGAACGAGAGCGCAGCGCTCAGCAAGACATTGTGAAATGTGAACGTCCACCCACTGCTTGCCTTGCTTGGCTCTATCCACCTAATTCACTTGAAAGTAGTGGCTATGAACAGTTATTGTACCGACTTCCGTCATTCATGTTGATTTTATTAACTGCGCAACACCACAGTATTTTTGTGAAAATTGGAGATCTACTAATTCTCAATGATAATTGTTCCAACGATTATTAGGTATAGTATTAAGAGAACACATAGACTTGCTCTCAATTTGTACCAATACTGTTGAAAACGTGCATTTGCGTTTTATTTGTATAGGTAGGTTTAGTAAATTTTAACCAATTTAGTAACAACGTCAGCAAGAAAGGAATGTCAATGTATCTATGTGTGCCATTATTTGTGCTAGTGTGCGTACCTATCCGATGAATCAATAGTAGGGCTTCAGCTTTTCAGTGTTTGTAGAATATATTTCATGTATCAATTTACTTTTCTGTAAGGTAAAATATTACATACTTTCTTAATTGTAATCAATAACATTCACGTGGTATTTCTCAGATTTCTATAACTCTTGTCTATTTCATTTGGTAGGGTTATACAAAAATGGCGGCGGGCGCGGTGGTGTAGTGGCGTTGTAGACGTCTCGCTCACTCTACCGACCGTGACGCACCTTTGCGAATATAGGGCGTTGTAAACAATAAACACAAAAGAAATCGGCACCGAGTGAATCTTTTCATGAATTTCTTTTAATAATAGTCATGCTTTTGAAATCGTAACTATTTATGTCAATAAGAAAGAACGTAATATTGTTGAGTAAAAGTTGGTACTAGGTACATAATATTACGTAATTTTCACTAAAAAGAAATCAATAAGAGACGCGTTGCTAATGCTGCTATCCAACTTAGGTTTTCATAAATTTCATTTCATTTATAAGTAGGTACAATAATTGATAGGTTTTTAAAAGAATCACGTTTCCGTCATCTTCAGAGTTCTAAATCTCAGGTACCTACCTAGCAGGTTTTATAACTTTAGTTTAGACTAGAGACCCTGAACCTTGTTATTCAATTTACTGTTTAGCATTTTATCATAAAAAAAAGATTTTTATTTAGCATAGGTTTTTTGTTTATCTTGTCTTAGAGATAAAGTTAGACGCTATTATGGAGCGATAACAAAAGATAAGTTAATGTAAAATAACAATTTTTTATGTCTACTTTAAATATATTTATTTAATTTGGCTGTCTGTATTACTCAGGGATTCTTAATTATATTAAAATGCTTGTTTATAGGTAATAACGTAAAAAGATTACGTAATAGTGCGCTTAGGTAGGTAAAATGCAATTCTTTAACAAGTTTCCCTTCTTTTATTATTCTGGGTCTCAGTCTTTCTTTTTTCCGATGTTTAAACGACGAAACAGACTATGCTCGATGGCCTTATCTTATTAACTTTTTTTTATACAAATTCCAAGATTAATTAATTTGTGTCTTTAAAAAGTATACATAGATGCATTATCAACTACATATTGCCCAATAATACCTATATTTGAGTTCGTTCAACCAAATATTTCAACATAATATTTCACTCAAACCCATTTTAATGTGAATTTGTTTCTCATTTCAGTAATACATTCACAATGGCGGAGTCTGCAGCCAACATAGAAGACTTGGAAGATGGAGAAATTGAAAGTGAAGGTGAAGATACAACTGAAGTTCACCACGAAGAAGAAAAGAAAGAAGAAGATGTTCCAGAGGCCGAGGAACTACCTCCCGAGAAACCCGAAGCACAGGATTTTTATTATTCAAAATCAGGTAAAAAAAAGAAATTTAAGAATAAAGGTGACCAGAAAAAAGATAAAAGCAAAAAAAATCGTAAGTATGCGACTCCCGCTACGGAAGATGATTTCGCAGGTAATATTGAAAAGGCGATCAGAAAAGTCATGAACAAGAGCGATGATGGCGAATGCTTTCCGGAAGAGGAAGTTGAAGAACGACGAAAACATAAGAAAAGGAAGAAAAATGAGTCTAAAGATGGACCTGGTAAGAAGCGTAAAAAACACGGATACACAGATGAAGTTGACGAAAGCGAGATGATGTGTATTAGAGGAGCGTCGCCAGTACAAAAACAAATGGACTCATTTCAAGATGACGACAGAGATTCCTATGCGTCTGACAGCAGTCATGACTCTCGTGGACACCAACATCATCGCCAACAAAGACACAGACCCAATCAAAGAGAACGCAATAATAAGAACAACAAAAATGACCGCAGGAGAGGTGCGCATCCAATGCAAGATCCAGATGGGCTATGTTTGTATTATATGCAAGGTAAATGCCATAAGGGGGATGATTGCATCTACTCTCATGATGCGCAACCTCCAAGAAAAATGGAATTATGTAAATTTTATCTTATGGATTGTTGCGCTAAGAGAGATAAATGTCTTTATATGCATGCTGATTTTCCTTGTAAATATTATCATACCGGGCTTCCTTGTATATACAAAGATGAATGTAAGTTCGCACATGGCCAACCATTGACTGAAGGTTTAAAAAATATTCTTTTGAAACATATAGAATCAGCACCTAAAGAAATTTTAGGTGATTTTCCGAGGCTTCATAGAGACGGAGCATTACAAATGATTCACTCAACCCAATTGAAATTAGCCCAGCAAATGTTTTCAGAAAACTCGGAAAATGAAGACAAAGGTATACCGTCGCTTTTTGACATAAATATACCTAACCCACAAGTCGTTCCAGAGTCCTCGTTACCTGTCAACAATTTTGAAAAACAAAAAGTATCACCTAAAGTTCGGCAATCAAGATGGCAAAATGATAACATGAACCAGAATTTTAATACGCCGCAAACTACTAATGCTCAGACTACTGCAGGTACAACGAATGTTCTTAATATTAAAAATTTAACTGGTGTACTCACACCTCGACAGATTTCTGATCTCACTAAAATGGGTATCGATAATTTAGATCAATTGGGGCAACTGACTGTATTACAGTTAAATAGTATTGGTATTTCTTTAAAACAGATAACTGAAATACAGCTAAATACAATGAGTATACAAAAACTTGGTTTAATAAATTCTAATACTGAACAACAACCGCCGCAGTTTCTAGGATCTACGTCAGCCAGTAAAGATCTTGATTTGCGAGTTCCACCAGTTGTACCAGTCTCAAATACACCGCCTTCGGACTTTCCGGGTCAAGACGTAGACATGCGTTTTCAACCTTCAGCTTCTGTTGCTACGAGTGAAGGTTCAGCTGTGAATACTGGTAGTGCTGGGACTACACGAAGAGAGAATAAAGATATGATAGACATTGATCAGTATACCAAGGATGCTTTAAAATTCGTGTCAAAAGATAAAGAAAACATAGATGTTTCTAACGAAACTTTTGAAAATGAAAAGCCTATAATTTCTAATGAGACTAAGGATGTGGATCATAGGGTAATTCCTTTTTCAGAAGATGCACCGAGAATGGCCTCGGTGAGTACTGAACCCAGTAACGTAAGACAGGAACGTGATACAGATATTAGGTTTCTTCATCCTGAACCTATATTTAAAAACCCTGAAAAGAGACATCGCAGGTCAACTACTGATGATGAAGACAATTTGTTAATTGACGAGAAGTGGTACTCCAGTGATGAAGAAAAAGGTTCTAGGAAAAAGTCCCCAGCATCATCGCCGAGGCCAGCGTCATTGTCACCGCAAACTCCAGCGCCACATGTGATAGAACCGTCAACGGTGTTGAGCAGACTTGGTGATCTATCCAAAATAGACATAAGTGAGGAAGTGACAAAATTACTAAATACAATGAAAAATAATTTGCACGAAAATAAAGTAGAAACAAAAAATGAAGCGTTAAGTTCTCCAAAGTCTCGAGATCCTAGATCAAGAAGATCGCCTGAAAAGGTGAGTGAACCTGTCAAGGCTGTTAACAAGAGGCCACCACGTGTTTCCATTTATGAATGTGTTGATGGTGAACCTACGGATGGCCGTCGGAGAACCGATGTTGATCTAAGACAGAGTGAGTATAAAATGCCTGCTTTTGGTGATACAGATTTACGTCAAGGAACTAGTGGTGACATCGATTTTCGTTTGGGTTTACCTTTCAAAGCAATACCTAACTATACTCCAGCATCTGAAATTGATGGATCAATTAATAGTCATCCTCCAATACCATACAAACTCTTACCTATTGATATACCGCGCCCGGACTACACAGATATTAGAAATAGTACAGCCAAGTCTCAAGCCTTATTAGATCCTAGATTAAGAAAAGTTTTTCGGCTATCCCTAGACGAATCAAATAGCGATAGTGAAAAAGCAGTCAAACCAATACCTACAGGTCCGCGGGTAGATCCTAGAAGAAAACCAAAGGAAAATGAAGGCATTGCACAAGACGTAAAACATAATACATTAGAGCTCCAAAATATTCTTCAAAATTCCAATTGGTACAGAGATCTCAGTTCTACTCAAAAAATATTCGTAAATCAGCATCTAGCTCCGGTTACTCAAATGATAAAACAGCATCAACAGGATAAAATGCCAGGAAAAAAATTAGATTTATCAGGTATTCAAAACAATTCGGTTCTTTGTAGCATATTTACGAATTTAGGTATATCTTTAGGAGATAATGGAGAATTCACTTATTTGCCTAAACCCAAAGAAGCATTGCTTAAAACACCGGTTAATCAATTTGCACTCAACAGCGGTATGGCGTTACCCCCCGGTAGTATGGAGTCTGGAAATATGAACCATATGAATATGCCGCCTATGGGCATGGGTATGAATAATATGAATGTGGGTCCAATGCATGGTTTCAATCAACAGAATTTATCAGATCCACGCGGCGGTCCCGCGCCTGGTCTATTAGGTATAGCTCCTAATATACCGCATGGTTTTAATAACGGCAAATTTAATGGACCTAATAATTTTGGAAATATGCCCTTTAATGGTCCAGGGCCAATGAATGACTTTAATTTCATGGAAGGAGATCAGAATTTCCCAAGGTTTCCAAATAGAGGCGGACATAGGGGCCGGGGAAACGATAGATGGAATCGTGGTGGTTCGGGAAGAGGTCACAGAGATCGAAAAAACTTCAATAATGACAGAGGGGGTCACTGGAAAAATGATAGGCATTAGTCATATTGTAATAAGCTTGTAAGCTTAGGATGGTCTCTTATTTAGAATAGGTAAATAAATTATTTGAATCAAAAATGTAGCTTAAAAATCCTTCCACATATTACAAAATGTGATTAAGGTGATATAATTTTAACAGACTTGTGGGTACACTTTTTTTTAAAATAATTTATAATAGTAGAATAAGAAATTTCTGTACAATATCTTATAGTGTAAATATTTTTTTACCAAGTGAAAGGTCAATGTCTGTATAAGATGTAGAATATAAATTATGTTAAATAAAATAATATTACTTTTGTTACAAAGTACTCATTTGTAAGAGCCAAATGTTTTAAGACTGAAGGCAGACTTATCATACATTTTAAGTTTTTGGGATCGTTACACCTATTGCAATATGAATACGTTAAGTACCAAAATCGTTATTTATTCATGTAAAAAAAAATACTGACTTTGAATTGGGAAGGGAAACCTATTAGTAATAAAAGATACAAAATAGTACCTACGTAACATCCATTAGACATGTAAACGTTAAATACAAGCAATAAATGTAGATTGTAGAATATACAACGTTAGGTACAGATTTTTTGCTATTTGTAATAAGCCCTAGATATAAAGAAGCGCCTACTCATTTAAATAAATCTATGTTTATACTTAAGAATGTATTGATTTTCATACCTTTTTATTGTCATATACATATTTCGGAATTGATTTTTTCTGTGAAAATAGGTGATAATTTTCGTAATTAATGCAACACAGGTGTGTAGCTAACATACTGTACCGTAGTGATGTATGCCAACCAATGCCCAGATTGGACTGTGAATGTTATCTCAATGTTTACAGGACTTATGAATGATTTTCAGGACATTTAATGTTTCCATAGGTACGAAAAGTAAGTATCTGAAACATTAATGGTAAGATATTTCTTATATTGATAAGAAAACACAAACTTTGTTTATGACTCTTTGTTTAATGCTTGAAGAACAGAAGCTACATAGTTTGAAAAATCTATTTTGAGTCGATTACCTCCTGACTTCAAGTTGATAGCGACTTGTGACACCTTGGAGAATGTTGAAGCTGCAAAGAAATGGAAACAAATAATGTAAAATATTTTGATAGGTATAGGTTTGTCAACTGAGTCTAACTAACCGCAACATTGAAATTCAAGCGCTCACATAAATAACTAGTTAAATCACACTTTTTAACTTGGGAGGAGATTTATATTCCCAAACTTTTAAGACCACAGACTTACATAAATTCAAGGCATCCATATCTTCGTTGTCATTAGTGCAATTATAGAAAAGGACACATTGTTTGGCAGATAAATTAGGCTGAGATACAAAATAGTTATAGAGTAGTTCCATCTCTCTTGATGCAGCCTGAACCGTCGACGGAGAACAGACCAGGATGGCCCCTTGCACTCCTGCTCGAAGAGCGGGCCAACAAGATTCGAATCTGCACAAATAAACAATTTTCTTTTAAAATGATCCTCTAGATACTTACTTAAAATACCACAGAACCATTTCGTCACGTGGTAATAATCTAATAAGATGGCTGAATTGGTAAAAAATTACACGTTGCGGTTGACGCTTTTCCCCTTTTGCTTTGCCAGGCAAATGGAAACTTTGACCTTGGATGAATGATTTCAAATAATTTTCACCTTAGTTACATTGACCTTTATTGCCTCAAAAGTCAAAACTGGTTTTAATTATTACCTACTAATCATTTGTTTTTGGTAGATAAGTTACGATTGAATTCAGTACAAAACAAAAAACTTAATAGGTAGGTATCAATCAGATATTGCCTAAAGATTTATAGTAAAAAGTTATTTAAAGGTAGGAAATGTGGATGACGTGCTAATGGTAACAACTTGACTATTTGATTTATGCAAAGCATAAGTACTGAAACACAAAGTCATCATACGCATTATTCATGAGAGTCGGAAAATATTTAATCATCATCATCTCATCTCATTATCCGAGCATGATATACTTGATTATCTTTAGGCAACATAATTATGGCGAAGGATTATTTGTTATTCCTGGTGTAGATGACAATGATTTGTTACTTTCTGGATTAATAAGAGGGGTAAACTAAATAGTGCTAAATTGTTGATTGGGGTCAGTATTAAATTAACGAGGTCTCCTATGTAAGCATGGGCAATGAAGAAGATACGTAATTTCATAAGACTAGAGAGAGAGAGTAGGTAGTCATAAAAGAAGAAGAATAGAAGGAAGGAAACATTTATTACTAAATAATTTGTCTTTAATGCAACGCTGCAACGTCACCTTGGAGCGAGAGATAAATACTGATGGATTACTTTAGGTAGGTAAGTAAGTATAATACAATACCAATGCATATAGACACAAAATATAATTTCTGCTAAAGTGTGCAATGTAAGTTGGGTACCTAGGTATTCCGAATCGTAGTAGGTATAATATTAAGAACAATTTAATTTGATATGTTGCCAATGGATGGCGCTCGTAGCGCTCACTGGCCTTACAACTCGATGAATATTATTTATGGTAACTTATCTCTTATCTATATATCTATATATATGTTACTGTAAAAGCTCGAACTACGGTTAATCTTAAGATTTAAGTGTAAGTCTTAAGATTTACCGAGATGAGTTGGTAAATGTAAGTATTTCTGAAAATACGACGATTTTTTCGAGCTTTTACCATTTGAATTCAGTATATGCTAGGTTTTACCTCTGTCAGCTGGTAGATGTTGGTTTTAGGAATAAAACAATGAGTAAGTAATGCTTAATTACTTACTTTCATCAACTATTAGACAAAACAGGTTACATAGTATTATAAAGGTATCATATGATAGTAATAAGTACAAACTAATACCAACTTATTTAAATTATTTGCAATCATTTCTTTTTCTTGTGTTTTGGTGTTCACATTTTTACTCTTTCCTTTTTTCATTCCTTCTGACTGATATTACCAACGATGCTGTTTTCGTAAAAGTTTACAGAACTTTTAATTAGGAAGATTATAACAAAAATGATAATACCATGGAGTCCATGGAATCGGATAAAAATCGGAATTATAATAACCCAGCATTGATAGTAACGCATACCTGAAAATATCATATCTAGCCTATCTAGGACACTGAAATTTTGTACTGCATGCATCCTAATAATATTATAAACGCGAAAGTTTGTGTGGATGTTTGTTACTCTTTCAAGCAAAAACTACTGAACTGATTTTGATGAAACTTTACAGTATTATTGTTTATAACCCAGAATAACATATAGGCTATAATTTATGGCGATCTGTGACAAATAAAATTACACGCGGGTGAAGCCGCGGGAAAAAACTAGTATTTTATATGACATGATCTTACGTTGCTAAAGAAAAAACAAGGCAGTGACATCATGGTTTGTTTAATTGTATTAAAATGAAAAGTGATGCCGTGGTCTTTCTTTTTAGTTCTTAAATTGTTCGTACATTTAAACAATACAAAAAGGCTGCGCTCGTGTAATGCGTAGATAAGACCGATTGTTACCTGTCAAAAATGCTTGTTTTGTTTTTCTACATTTACCGTGCCATTAATGTAAATCCTAAGATTTATCAACGAAATGGTGGTAAGAGTTCGAATCGCAAACCTTTTGGGACATTTACCATTAGGAATTGGTAGATCTTAGGTTTTACTGGAATATCTTAGGATTTACTGCAATTCGAGCTTTTACAGTAACATATATAAAAGAAAGTCGTGTTAGTTACTTCACTTATAACTCAAGAACGGCTGAACCGATTTAGCTGAAAATTGTCAGGGAGGTAGTTTAGAGCCAGGAGAAGGACATAGGATACTTTTTATCCCGTTCGAAATTAAAAAAAATCTGCTTATTTATTGTCATTAAGGCGGAACAAAGTTCGCCGGGTCAGCTAGTATATATACAGGGTGTTTCTTGTAAGGTGTCAAGCCGAAGGCAGGTGATAGGTGAGGACTAGACCTATCGATTTCACCCCCATGTATGTTCTACGATTTTTCATAGCTTAGAAGTTATCGTCAATTTTGTGATTTTTTCAAATTGTATGACCCAGTAGGCTTTAAATTTTTTTATCTTTTTTTTGGGTCGACTTTTCTCAGATTTCTTTTTTTTGACAGATTCCCTATTAATTGCAGATTTTTGAAAAAAATAATCAACTTCCTATCTTTGATGCAAGATACAAAATTTNAGTATTTTATATGACATGATCTTACGTTGCTAAAGAAAAAACAAGGCAGTGACATCATGGTTTGTTTAATTGTATTAAAATGAAAAGTGATGCCGTGGTCTTTCTTTTTAGTTCTTAAATTGTTCGTACATTTAAACAATACAAAAAGGCTGCGCTCGTGTAATGCGTAGATAAGACCGATTGTTACCTGTCAAAAATGCTTGTTTTGTTTTTCTACATTTACCGTGCCATTAATGTAAATCCTAAGATTTATCAACGAAATGGTGGTAAGAGTTCGAATCGCAAACCTTTTGGGACATTTACCATTAGGAATTGGTAGATCTTAGGTTTTACTGGAATATCTTAGGATTTACTGCAATTCGAGCTTTTACAGTAACATATATAAAAGAAAGTCGTGTTAGTTACTTCACTTATAACTCAAGAACGGCTGAACCGATTTAGCTGAAAATTGTCAGGGAGGTAGTTTAGAGCCAGGAGAAGGACATAGGATACTTTTTATCCCGTTCGAAATTAAAAAAAATCTGCTTATTTATTGTCATTAAGGCGGAACAAAGTTCGCCGGGTCAGCTAGTATATATACAGGGTGTTTCTTGTAAGGTGTCAAGCCGAAGGCAGGTGATAGGTGAGGACTAGACCTATCGATTTCACCCCCATGTATGTTCTACGATTTTTCATAGCTTAGAAGTTATCGTCAATTTTGTGATTTTTTCAAATTGTATGACCCAGTAGGCTTTAAATTTTTTTATCTTTTTTTTGGGTCGACTTTTCTCAGATTTCTTTTTTTTGACAGATTCCCTATTAATTGCAGATTTTTGAAAAAAATAATCAACTTCCTATCTTTGATGCAAGATACAAAATTTTTGCTAGAAACATAAAAAATATGTTATTAGCGGAACATTCTAAAATTTTCAACTTAAAAGTTAAAAAAAAAAGAAGAAATTCCATAGGTCCAAAATAATTTTAAAAACTGCGCAGTTTTCTGAACTTTCATAATGACACAAAAAAACATGTACTTAATAGGCCATTATTTTCTGTAATCGCTTGTGTGTGTGTGTGTGTGTGTGTGTGTGTGTGTGTGAGAGAGAGAGAGAGAGAGAGAGAGAGAGCAAAAATGGGTGTAATTTGGTTTTGTGCTTCAGTCAGCTTTGTCCGCAGTTCATCAATATTTTCATATTCCCTATTGTATACCAGATGAAGGGTGGTTGGAGTAGGAAGATAAACCACAAATCGCGCACAATGGCCCTATCATGAGGCTAAGTGCGGTATTCGATTGCCCTGCAAAACTAACTAACTAACTAACTAACCAGATGAAGGGCAAGAGCTTCCTCGTTGTGGATAAAACAATGTTCTGTTCAGTTATTGTCTCT